GCCTCTTTGTTCTTCTTCCTTCTCTTACTGACTGAACTGGTGCTGCTCCCGGGCCTTCCGGTTACGTCATGGCTCTCTTCAGTCGTTCCTGTGGTGCCCTCTCTGTTCGAACTCCTTCGGCGTCTGTCCATTGTTAAACCTGTACAGATAAATGTATATTAAGATAGCAATGGTTACCAAATGACATCACTATATATAGTTTGCCAAGGACAGCCCACTGGGCCAACTAGTTGTAGTAAAATCATAGATAGATTGTACTTGTATTTTTGGCACGTTAGCAGCAATGTGTTATGACCAATGTAGGGGAGGGTTGGCTCACATTGTGCTGCTTTCCGCTGATGTTCTGCTGCTTTCAGCTGATTCTCGATGTACCCCCCGAACTTCCCGTCCTTTATCAGATCCTTCTGGGACCCGAACGCTCGAATCCTTCCATTGTAGAGAGTAACCATCAAAGCCTCCACACCAAGATCGCCAAGCTCCTCAGACTAAAAGTAACAACAATGCTCCAATTGCATTTGATATGCTATGTACTACGTTCGAAATGATCGTGCTTGGACGCAATTCTTCTTTATTGTTCAAACATCTAGTACATTCTAGTAAACTACATTATTCTGTAGACATTAATCCATTTTCCATGTACATATGTTGAGAAGTTACTGATATCAACAAAAACTGCGTTTACTGGGTGGAACGTACATACAAATACCTGTTTCTGATTCAAATAAGGGGACTCGATCAGGTCGATGCGCATGCAAAGGAATGGATCGTAAATATCTGTCAAATTGACTCAAAGGATGTTTATTGTATTTCATATACTTTTTTGAATGATTACTCTTAAACAATTCTCCAAGTGTCCAGGAACATGTTCGTATTATTACACCCACCAGTTTTTTGAGCTGTTTCAGCTTTTTCGCCACTTCTGACGAAGTTTTGACTTTCGTCTCTTTGCCTCTTCTCCTCTCTGCTGCTTTGTTGTATTCATCCTTTTCCTCGTCAGTCAGGTTCTTCCAGCTCTCGCCGATTTCCTTATTGGCACCGGTCACCGGCAAGGGAGAATCCTCGGTTGGCTGAAGGAAAATGCAAGACGCAAAGTGTTAGATACCGTTTACGTACAATACACGGTACTTCAGTGGATGTCCATAAAGTTGATGTTTCGAATACTTTTCGTAAGCGATGCTAACGCCGTATCTAAAATGTACCTACAGTATGCTATGGTAAGACAGTCACAAAACATGCAGTAAGTTAAATACGTTGAAATACTTGGCAAACATTTGAAAAGGGAATGAAATGGTCATGTGAACTTCATTGATATAATAGTGACACAGGAAGCATTATTGAGATAACCTTCGCAAGAGAAAAACATATTGTTTTACTCTGTTTCGTCTTTTTCTTTTCCAAATACATAAGGTCAATGACATGAAACAGACGTCTGTCACCATGGTAATTAGTGCTGTAGCAGACACCATGTGGTGTTCGGTTACATTTTGTAGCAAGATTGGAGAGGCTGGTCATTATATACACATGTGCATTATATATATAGAGAGAGAGACCATGTGAAGGTAAACTTTATCTATTTGCATTTACAAATGTCACCCTTCTATTTACTACAACTAAAGCATTCGAAAGGATAATAAAATGATCGACTGAATCTTGCGATAATTGTCATAGTTAAACATTTTCGTAAACAATTATAACTGCCGTTTCAACTCACCCCTTTTCCTTGGTAGCTGTTCCCTGTAGTACTCGTGATATCCCGTGATCCTCCTCTTCCTCTCCATCGTGTCTGGTGGCGGTCTCCTCTTACTGCCGCCTTGACTCTTACGGTAGTTACCGATGAAGTTCTGGAAGGACAATAAGTTGGTTCATCTATTGTCTCGTACGTAGGTCAATTTTGTTGTACTCACGTATCTGTCTGCATGTCTACATGTAGATGACTATATTGCGAAAGTCGCTGTATTTTTTGTTGTCTATAAATTTCTCTATGAAACACGGTATACTTGTCAAAGTTTAATTCCAGGTATGGCGGAACAGGCACTATCGAACCACTGAAAATCATATTTGACATGTTTGACCAGACCTGGTGATAACTCGATACAATCAGATCAGAGGATGTCCCTCCTAGTTTCGTCACTGGAACCTGACCTAAGATACTGTCGGACCTGGTGCGGGACTGAGGATAGACGGGTTGGGGGGGGGGGGGGTNCTTGGTGGTGCTACAGACAAATGGGTTGGACTAGATGTATGATATCCTGTTTAATATATTTTGCCGCCAAAAGTAGATGGGGATTGGGGAAGAAGAGTAACTGTTATGGAAATATACAACAGAGTGAGGCCTCCTGAGGGCCTTGTTCAGTATCCTATAGATGTAGAAACAATGTTTATTAACCATCCATGCATAATAATGACTAACATCGACTACAGAAGTCGACCTTAGAAAGCTATCTTGTCAATAGGAATGTAAGACGTGTATTGAGTTTGATAATACCATGACTTGGTCAACTGTTTTCCCGCTCTCCTTAGCTGCTTCTTGTATCAACGGGTGATCCTTCCTCGCCACTGTCATTTCTCTTTCTTCATAGAACCGGACGAGTACAGGATCGTAGCCTTTCTTACGTGTGGAGACTTCCTGTAAACATGCACACGTAAAAGTGAGTTTTGTTTGGTGTAAGGGCGGTTCTACAATTCTTTCTGAAACACTTCTAGTCACAGCAGTCACAGCTAAAATTGGACATGTTTAATTATACATATACATGTCTCTATAGATACTAGTAGATCACATGCCTTCCAGCTAAATGTTTCTACGAAATTCTGATGATAGTTATTTATCTCCAACCTGTCAAGCATAATACAAAAATTCAAATACTAGCTTGCGTACCAGGGGAATTAAAAAAAGAACTTCATATCATCTTCAACTTGTAGTTTAATATTATCAGCAGTTGTTTGTGAACCGATGTGTTTGACAAGAAATTTACAGTCATCTCAATTATACACTTTAGATATAATGCTTTATAATTTTGCATCACGTAAGTTTTGAAGTGACTCACATT